TATATATATATATATATATATATATATATATATATATATATATATATACATACACACACACACACACAAATAATAAAAAAACATAAAAGACACACACACAGAGTATTATTCTAATATCCCTTTGGAACATCAGTAGCAATATGGATTCCCAAAAGTAAGCTTCAGAAAACCAAGTTAGGAATCTCATTTGGTCTAACGACATCCATGCTGTTAGCTTGATTTTTAAATTTTCCCTACAATAAAAAAAGCTAACTATTTATAGAAGAGGCAATTATGGCTTCTGATTTAAACAATTCAGTAAAACTAGCACATGCTTCTCACATATAGTTTACACTGGTACCAGAAGTTACTGTAAGGTAGTAGCATTGTGATATTTAGGGTAGGCATCTGAGAGGGGCTGTAGCTTAGTAGCTGTGAGGGGCTCACCACATTTCATACACACAATCAAAACTGGAGAAGTAAAAATCTGCCTGAGCACTCAAAAAAGATCCAATAAAACCAGTTAGGCCATTAACTAGTGTTAGAGAACCTAATCTTGATTCCTCACAGAGGCCCAGTAAACAAGTTATGCACAGAGATATTGTACAAGAGTCGGAAAGGCTGCAAGAGCCAAAAAAAGAATTGTTCCACTCTCATACACTGCAGCCTCAAAGCTAGAATAGCTGCTGACACTACCATACTCCTTTACCCACACACAAGGGGTTTAAGGCCAGTGGAGCAACATAAATGATACATCATCATCCTTTCTCACAAACACCATGAGCACTAGGTAAGGAACCCCACAAAACAAAACTCTGTAGTGCCTTCTCCCAAAGAGACTTGTGCTCAGAAAACACGAAGGGAAAACGAACAGGGTGTAAACTAGAATATTCTTTTTAAAATACCAAGCAAGTAAACTTTTCAAAAATATAAATTACCTGGTTTGTCTTCTGATGGTAAGGGCTGACCTTGGTAAGACACTGCTGGATAATTGGCAGGAATTTCTGAAGGAAGTAGGAAGAGCCCATCTAGGATCCCATCAATTACAGTCTGCAGATGTGGATCCATATTATGACGAAGTTGAGAAAAGAATTCCACTGCACCAATCCCAACCAATTGCCGGACAGCAGACGGATGCTAGATCAGAAAGAGGACAATCAGTTCAGACTTGCTGGCAATTTTTTAAAGTTTCTATACTACATCAGAAAGACAGCGCTATCGAACTTAAATTTAGCTTTTTTGTTATCTTACAGAAAATTAAAGTTTTTCAACTCAATATCAAATGTTTTCCCACACTGTTGTATGGTGATTAGCGCAGGGAACTGGGAGTCAGGGGATTCTGTTCCATGCCCAACTCTGCCAATGACTAGCTGTGACTCTTGGGGCAAGCCATTAACCTCTTTACATGCATCCAAACTAGGCAATTATCCCCTATTTTTCAGCAATAATGCAGCTGTGCAGGTATTACCAGTGCTGGAAACTTTACCATAAATGGAGGAAAGGCATTTTCATCACTGTATTCTCTAACCCTGTTCTAAGCAAATCCCTGCTCTCCATTTTTCTGATTATTTCAGTCTATGTGGCAAAAGTGGAGACTGGTCACTGCACTGGGAATCAAGTGACCAGAGTTATTTTTCCAGCTCTCCCATTGACCTGCCATGTCATCTTGCACATTATTTCATCTGTGTGTCTGTTTCCTCATCTATACAATGGTTTTAGTGATACTTATCCTCATTTATAAATTAATCTAAGTTCGTTCCAAAGCACTCTTAAAAAAAATAAAAAAATAAAAAAAAAAAGAACTGTGTACTGTGTGGGTGAGTAAATTCCATTTAAGTCTAATATTGTAAATACATACTGTTTAAGAACAAAATTTCATACCTTTACCAAGTTGTTTACCAAATTTAGTATCTCCTCTTTCATCGGTACTATAGGAAAATTGAACCATTCCAGCAAATGGAGAAAAAGCAATTGTTCTTGGACTAGATCAGCATATGAAATCAAATTATGATCTAATTTACACAATATATTCTTGAGAGCTCGTTCTCTTATCTCTGCAAGTTGATGACCTGTGCAAAAAAAAAAAAGAAGAAGATGGTGAAGGAATGCTAAGGAATTAAAGTGGTTCAGAAACATGTCTACAATACCATCCCAATTCTTAGTTTTGTTTGGTGTCTCAACAGGAACATCTAAGATTTAGGAACGCGTGTGCTGCTGCTTGTCACCGGGACCAATGGTACTTCAGTCTCCATCCCTGAGTCAACAGAGCATCTTCTAAAGTTATACATTCACTTTTAAATAAAACTTTGGTTCTACTGTGTTCAGAGAAAAAGGACTTTGTGTACATTCTTTGTAAATAAACATCACTGCAAAAACAAAACAAAACAAAAACAAAAAACTCCACTCGAGTGCCATAATCAATTTCTCCTCCTTAAGAGGAACAACTCCAAATAGGGGGCTAACCCACTGGGCTCAAAAAGGGAAATAAGAGTAAGTAGTTCTGTCCATATAAAAAACATCAACAAGCAAACTGAGAACAACAATAATCTATATTCATTCCCATCACCATGAAAGAAACCAAGGTTAGCAAAACACCAGCCCAAGTCATGCACAGGGATGGCAGGAAGATCCGACGCGTACGTCGTGTCTGAGACGGGTGCCTTGTATTGAGTACTGGGGATAAATAACGTGCATGTGCGCGGGTGTATCTGTATCTGTGCAGACACCTGCGCGCGGATCTGCACGCGTGGCTATGCCGGTGTGCATGCACAAACCCACTGTACACGCGTGTGCCAGTGTTCGTGTCTACACACACACCCCACACACACCTATCAGACACGCAGCCCGTCAGGGGCCGTGGCAACGGGAACCGCTCTCGCCCCCCAGCTCAGCCCCAGTGCAGCCCCACACACCCACGGCCGTTCCCAGCCCCACGCGGGACAGTTACCGAGTTTCCTGATGAGCGGGACCAGCTCCATCTCCCCGGCGCCGCGCCGCGCCGCCCGCCCGGAATCCAACCGCCGCGTCCCGCAGCAAATCCGCTCCGCCTTGATCGGGAGGGATCAAACGAGGAGAGACCGTTGCTGGGGGTGGCTCAACGAACCGCAAGGCATCCTGGGAGGTGTAGTCCACTCCCGCAAAGGACCCTGGGAGATGCAGTTCTTCCACCACTCTTCCTGGGTCGGCCTGCAATTCCCATGATACCGCGCGCCCGGAACGTGTTCTGGCGATCGCCCTAACCCGTTCTGCCTTTAGGAGTTCGGTCCCCCTGCTGGGACAGGAGGAGGCGCGGGGCGGGTCCCACGGGCTCCCCTAGGGAAGAGCCCCGAGCTGGGGATTAGCGAGCACGAGGCAGGCTGCCAAAGGGCCCCGACCCTGCAGGGAAACCCACGTGGTGCCCAGCCCCGTTGGGGCTCCTTGCGGGCGCTGGGCTTCGTGGAGGGCGCTGCGGGACATGAAGTTTCCCCAAGCGCGTGAAGGGACCCAGCTCATCTGCCTGCACCAATGCTGTGTCATTCCTCCTGCTGCAGACCGGCCACGTAGGGGTTGCTGCTCATAACTGTGCCAGCGTGCAGTGGAGTGAAATTAACTAAAGCACAGATTTCAGCCTTACTCTTTCAGTAACTCCGCAATGTGTGTGCTGTAGGGCCAGGGCCGGCACCAGGCACCCAAGCACATGCTTGGGGCGGCACCTGGTAAGGGGGCGGCGGGGGGGAG